TGGATAAATGGAATCTCACGGATGCTTACAAAATTTTTGGTACAGTAAAATAAATAAAATTAATAAATGTAATATCAGAGCATGTCTCTTTAAAAATTATACATTTGAAGAAAATGTTTTTTGATGGAGCAATAATAGGGTTCTCAATATATGTCACAAAATGCAAACCTTGCCCTGAATATAATTTTACATATTAGAAACTGTATTTCCCTTGTGAGATGGATTCATTTTGCAGTTCTGTCGATTTAATCTACGATGCCTTCTGTATCCAGGTAATTATTTCTTTTGTTCAGTTGCTCCTAACCATTTTTATCGTTGTTGTCTTCTCTGTTGTTAGGGCAATGGGGGATTTAGTCACAAGATCTTATAAGAATCCAGTCAAGGGTCAGGATCCTCTTCCCAGAAAAATATTTACATATACAAACATGCCCAAAGTTACATGTAATTTTAAGCGAGTTTATGGATTTCTTGAAGTTATTTCTGAACCCCAAGTAAAGAGATTCTGCTGTAGTCTAGAGATACCACACAACATAACATTTTTTTTTTTATTGAAGTGAAAACAGGTTAAAGTGGTTTGGGATGATATTTAAAAATAAACTGTTTACTATTTAAACTTTCTTTGATATGTTGTTTAGTGATTTTTAAAAAAAATCTTCATGGTAAAGCTAATAATCTTACTACTTTGTTGGGATATCAGTTGACATTAAAAGGCTCAGATCAATAAAGTTCTAAAAAAATGCAAAAAGGACCAAAACACCATCAAACTAAAAAATATCTTAACTAGCCTTAGTTCCTGATATTAAAGTTGTATGTGGCTACTCTCAGTTTTTGTCCCCACTGCCTCATCCCTGTTAGGACAATTTAGTCGTTAGCTCCTCCCATCATTAGAAGAGAACATGCATTTGCTGTTGTGTATGCCCAAGGCTGAAACACAGACCCCAGAAGGTCAGGCCTTTATTGAAACAAAATTGGCTTCTCTCTCTTGTAGCAATTTGGGCCTGACAAGATAGCTCTCTCATCTCAGTGCCTGCACTGGTTAAATGACAAAATGTTTTTAGAACACTTTGGTATCTATTAGTTTCTTTTTTAAAATGACACAATTTTGTATACTACTGCAACAGACCCTTTGGGCTATTCAGAAATCAAAGAAATGTTTTGGCTAGAAATGTCCACACAGTATAATACTCACTTGAAACAAATGTGTAATTGAAATATTTTTAGGGTAAATATGGCTTAGTTAATGAAAAATTCCCATTCAATTCCTTATATACCAGATTTTTTCATTCCCACAATAGTTGTCTTTCATAATTAGGCATTGTTAAAGGTTGAATTGTGTCCCCCCAAAATAGATACTTTGAAGTCTCACTCTCCAGTACTCAGAATGTGACTGTATTTGGAAATAGGGTTGTTGCAGATGTAGTTAGTTAAGATGAGGTCAAATTAGAGTAGAGTGGGACGTTAATCCAATACGACTGGTGCTCTTATAAGAAGAGGGAAATTTGGACACACAGAGAAACACAGAGAGAACGAGAGAGAGAGAGAAGAATGCCAGGGTCAGACATAGAAACACACAGGGAGAAGACAGCCATGTGAAAATGGAGACAGATTAGAGTTAGGCTACCACAAGCCAGGGAATGTCTGGGGCTACCAGAAGCTGGGAAAGGCAAGAAATGATCTTCCCCTGGGATCTTGTTGGCATGGCTCTGCCAACACATTGTTTTCAGATTTCTAGACTCTACAACTGTGAGACAATAAATACCTACTGTTTTAAGTCACCCAGATTATGGTACTTTGTTATGGTGATCCTAGGAAACTAATATATACATAAGCTTCATTTATCTAAAAGATGGCAGTATCAAATATAGCATATTTTTTATTAGAAAATTTCAGTAGGAAGTTCAGCCTATTTTATATTAGTTATAAAGTAGTCTAGTTGACCTCTGCAAGAAGACTACTGTTGTAATGAACTAAAATCTTCATACCCCTCATTCTCCACCCTCTCTTGACTGATGTTGCAGGGTAGTAGATAAGTGATTTTGGCATTTTTTTCCTAAGATTTTCATTCTAAAAACTGTCTTTTATTTAAAAATCTCACCACTTCTATAAATATAAAATTATTTTAAAATAAAAATATTTTAAAAATCAAACAATGTTGGAATATTCATATAGATGCAATTTCTTTATCATACTTAGAATTATTTAGTGAGAGCACTAAATTGAGTTTATAGCTATAGAATTACTAGAGAAAATGGAAAATTATACTCAATGATGTTTAAAAGATAGGAAAAAAAAATCCAGAAAAACAAGCACTTGAGATTACTCATACAGGAGACTATTTCTGACAGAATATTTACCAAAATTAAAATATTAAAATAGTCAAAATATAGCTCGTACAAATCATTAAACCTCCCTGGACCTTGGTTTACTTATCTATATAATGTGATGCTTAGATCAGATGATCTGTATGGTCCTCTTCTCCATGAATCTTACGATTCTAGAATTTGGGGACCAGGAAGAGCCACAAGAAAGCTATACAATTCAAAAATAAGTAATATTAGATGTAAATTAGCTTTTTACAAGTTTACAGTATAACAATGCTATAACACATATAGTAGACTGGCTTTGTCTCTTTAATAGCCTTACTTTCAGAAAGAGCAGAAGGATATGAAAGAGAATGATTGATTTAAGGGTGGTATGTGAGCCAGGCTCAGTGGCACACACCTGTAGTCTCAGCTACTTGGGAAGCTGAGGCAGGAAGATCACCTGAGCCCAGGAGTTCAAGGCCAGCTTAAGCAACATAGCAAGACTTTGTCTCTTTAAGAGGAAAAAAAATAGTAGTGTTAGGACACTTGTATGGAAAACAATGAGCCTCAACTCCTGCCTTACCATATACAAAAATTAGACATGTATCGTAGTCCTAAGTGTTTGGTTTAAGAAGGAAATAGAGAATATTTACATGATTCAGGATTGGGCAAAGGTTTCTTAGATATAACTGTGAAAAAACAATCACGATAAAAGTAAACATTGAATAAATTGGATATCATCAAAATTTAAAACTTCAGGTCACTAAAAGAAATCATTAGGGTAATGAATAGGTAAACCAAAATGAGGGAGAAAACATTTCCAAAACATGTACAGCCAGTGCAGTCAGTTTGGGAAAGGTCTCATGGTTTCGTAGAAAACTAAGCATACATCTACCATCTAACCATTGACCCAACAATTCTACTCTTAGGTATTTAGTTAAAATATTAAAATACATGTTCACAAAATGGCTTGTATAAGAATGTGCATAGAAGCTTTATTTGTAATAGCCCCAAACTAGAACAGCCTAGGTATTCATCAGTAGGAGAATAATAAACAAATTGTGTAATACTGCTCAGTAATAAGAAAAAACTATAGTTACATGTAATACTGTGGGTGAATTTCTAAAACATTATTCTGGGTAAAAAAAAGTCTTACACAAGAGATTACATAATGTTTGATTCCATTCATATGAAGTTCTAGAATATGTAGAACTAATTTATGGTGGAACAGAAAATCAGAATAGTATGGCCTTTGGAAGGAGGGGCAGGGACTAACTAGGAAAGGGCCCAAGGGAATTTTCTGGGGGTATGGTAATACTCTATGTCTTGATTGACATTTGATTACATATGTGTGTTTGCCAAAACTAAGCAAATGTACGTTTAAGATCTTTGTGTAAATCAGTGTGTGAAAATTTTACCTCAAAAAATATAAACAAATATTAAACTGTAATTAATGATGTTTATTGAAGAGTTTTGGGGGAAGTGTGCTGATATCTGCAAATTACATTGAAATGCATCAAAAAATAAGATGGATTGATGAATTGATAGAGGATGGATAGCTGAATATTAATATATTAATGATAGTATCTAGGTGATTGTAATACAGGATGTTTGTTGTCAATTTCTTTCAATTTTTTTGTATGTCTGAAAAGTACATTTAAAATGTGCAGAACAAGTTCATTAATAATCATTTTCTTTCCACTAATTATTTCTGTATTTTTCTAGAATTGTTTTTCAAATATAAAGTCTCCATTTAGAAATCCATTTCCTTTTTTTATTTTGTTTTGTTTTTGGTAGTAATGATCATCAGGTGTGTGTGTTTTCTCTAGAATTGCAGGTAAGAAGATCAAGAAGCCAACCAGACACTGATGCAGTACTAGTTTTTGTGCTGACCATAGGAGTCGTTGTCTGTGTATTCGTGATCTTTGTATTGATCTTCATAATTGTAAATTGGTAGGTAAATGGTAGGATGCTTTATCACCCTTGGTTTGGAGTCCTCTTCTTCCCTTTCCTCATCCAGTGAATTGCGAAGCCCTGTCCTTGATGCCTATACATGTGTCTTGAGTTGTCCAACTTCCTTCATTACTCCTGTGATTATCCTAGTTCAGGCTACCACATCTCTTTCTGTGGATGCTTTATTAAACAGTTGCATGACTTGCTTCTCCAGCCATGAGAGAGCCTTTAAATGCAATTTTTACAATTCTGTGTGATAACTGCTATAAAAAAGGCTTATTTCATGAATATTTGTGTTGTTCAGTTATAGTTCTCACAACCCTAAAACTTGGTTATTGTAACTACTAATTATATGAGAATGTTTATTTTCGTATACGTGAGTATTACACCCTGGTAAGTCTGAGAGTTTGTGCACTGTCACACAGTATAGCTGCACCACAAACTAAACATGAATCATGAATAGAAAGGCCCTTCTGTATGTAGAAAACGTAAATATAATTCTGTTTAGTTTCTTTTTTCACTTCATATGATGGTTTTTGTTTTTGTTTTTTTTTCTTCTAGGGCGGCAGTCAAGGCTTTCTGGGGGGCGAGAGCCTCCACAACTGAGATACACTCTGAGCTGAGTTCTGTGAGATATAAAGATTCAACTTCTCTTGACCAAACACCAACAGAAATACCTGTAAATGATGAAGAGGATGCTTTAAGTGAATGGAATGAATGATGTGTGGATTATATATGACAAATCAAAGGATATTAGAGCTTATCAGATTCATTATTATAAAAATAAAATATATATGGAATACTTTAATAATGTTGCAGTAGATTTACCACAGTCTGAAGGTGGTATGGTGTGTGGATAGGGCTGTTTTAATCCATCTTTGTGGTACAGCTATCACATGATACTTTTAATTTGTTCTCAGTACTCTTCCTTTCAGCTTGGGGATGTTTATCTAGAGGTAAAAACAACAAATCTTCTAAACACATTTTTGATCATTTTGATAAATTCGTAGTTGATTTGCTTGTTCTGTCCTAAATAAGAAAAATGTACTATAGAAATGCCTTGCATATTAGACTTGTTCCTCTTTGGGAGCACTGGATTGAACTTGCTAAAGCAAATCAAACTTTAGAATCTCTGCATGTGACGTACAAACCTTATAAGACATGAAATAATGGTACTAACGACGATAACAATCAACACTTAGTGACTAACTATGTGCCCAGCATTGCTCAAAGCATTTTCCATATATTAGGTAATTTAACTGTGATTGTGTGTAGGAAATATGTAAGGAGGAACTGGAGAGGAACTTGGAGGTGGCTGTGGAAATGACATGAATCTATATGCCCTGTATTTCTCTCAGAAGCAGTGAATTATGGACTTCTGAACGACTGCTGATAAGTAGTACTTTCATTGTTCTTGGTATGTATGCAAGGTGATAACATCTCAGAACCAAGGTAGTTATTTCTGAACATCCTCACTGCTTTTTTGTGCTGTGTCATTATGTGAAACAGTTACAGCCAACTGTCAAACAAGGTACCAAGGCATTAGGTAATTTGATTTAGTAGACTTCATCAGGAATTCTCAGAGGTTACGATGGTAGCACAAAATACATTTAATTTTTTCTGTTTAAATGAATTCTATGCCAACTTTATTCCTATTATCATGGGATTTATCTGAGGACACCATTAACTCTCTGCACACCTATGCAGAATTCATTGTAAATGGACATTTATGATATACCTCCCTGTAGTAGCCTATTAGGCTGTGTTGTGGTGTTTGCCATGATTTTTGTTTGTATTTGAGAGAAGCAATGAGGAATTGGCTGGAAAATGATTTTGTTATCTACTGTGGGATATCCACTGAGGACTTTAAGTGAAAAGAAATGGTTTTCATAAAACCTTCCAAAAGAACTATTCTTTGTGACACCCCTGTCCCATAAGTGTTTTTTAAAATTAACATTCCAATTCTTTCTGAGTATGTATGGTCATATAACTTTAGGTGCTGAACATTCTTGAATAGTAATTATTATTCTTATTTTTAAAATTATGAACAGCAGTGGGTTCCAACTGTAATTCAATAAACATTAGTGTTCAGTCATATTAATGGGGTTGTCATTCGTGCTGTTCACTGAGTATTTTTGGCTGTTTACCTTTCAGGCACATGGTAGGATAGTATTTTCTCAGCCCCTCATGGTGGGGCCATGTGACAAGTTCTGAGCCAAATTCCAAAGTTATGAGTCACTCTCAGGCTGCAACATTTAATTGTGAAAACATCCAGAGCTCACCTTCCTTCTGCCAGAGCAACCAAAGATGCTCAGATGGTGCTTGCTCTAACACCTTGGATCCCAGAGTGAAGACCACACCGCACAAGATCTCCAGTCAACCAACAATGGATATACAACATGAATGAGAAGTAAACCTTGCTATTTTAAGCCAGTGAGGTTCAGAGGTTGTCTGACACAGCAGCCATACTAAGATTATCTTGACTGACACATAAGTCTTTTCTGAATATGAAGTATCATGGTCAGATGAGTTGAAGAATCTTCTTTAGTGCAGAACTTCTTAAAGTCATCAATGTGCTATGCACACTGTGACTATCCAGGAAGGGGATTATAGGTGCAACATTTCCCAAATTTATTGGTGGTCTGTGAAACAAAAATGAAACCATGCATGAACATTAATACTTTACCAGCTCAGAAGTACACTTTTGAGCAGAACCGTCCCTGATATGTCTATCCATGGGGAGCCAGGGCTCAGTGAGCTTGTCTTTCATAATATATAACACACAGCAAGTCAGCAATATACCTTGGCAACCGTAGCACTTTCCTTGACACTTCTGGGTGCTAACTTAGACCATCAACTGCTCCAGATCCACCTTGATGGACTTTTTTGAAGCCATCCTATTCCTAAAACTAGGGGCTCATCTCTTAACTGAATTGGGTAAAAATAATGACCACATTGAATTGGGTAAAAATAATGAGCAAACCTTACTTGTAAAGTATAATATGCTCCAGATCTCCATGAAATCACTCCAGGTCTCCTGATGATATACTGTCCTTCACCACTTGGTCATAGTCTGTGTGTTGGGGAATCTGTCCTGGCCATGGTCCATGAGTCCCCATGGCACAATAACTATCAGTGGGGCCAGCCACATTCCTCTTCAGGAGGCATATACCAGAGGAATCTTCTAGCTCTTATATTCTCCTAAATTCTAGGCAGGAATTTTTCCTGGTCACTTTTTTTGGTCACCAAAATATCCTCATGGGGAGCCTTAAAGTTTTCATCTGGATCTGGGAAGTAAATAAAGCCATGCAATAAGATATCAAAAAGAGGACACCAAATCATTGGTCTCTGCATATGCAGTTACAGCGATTTTGTGAAAAGTCCAGAGTGACACTTAATCACCAAGAAAATCCTTTCTTCATCCATTCATTCAACAAACACCGACTGAGCTATTCCTTTGGGCAGGTACTATGCTAAGCATTGGGAATACAGTTTCTGAAAGAAAAAACAAAAAGCAAAGGAGAGAGAGCCCTCTTAAGTTATCATTTGCCTGAGTCAGACATTACATTAACCACAACTGGGGTGAATACGTTGGAGGAAACTACAGTTTCTGTGAAGCTATAGTAGGAAACAACATTTAAAGGACTTAAAATCTAAATAAGGAATGTCCCTGGTTAAAAAGGAGGAGGGACTGGGCAGAGGAAGAGCAGTGCAAAGCCTCTGAGTCGGGAAGGAGATGAAGCATCTGAGAGAAGGAAGCAGAGCTGGAGTGAGAGAAAGGGGAGATAAGGCTGGGATGCTAAGCAGAGCAGTGATATTATAGATACTATACATACTATGTATTTTATACATGTAAGAAGATATTAAACAACTTTCACAAAAACAGTCTAAAATGCCTGAGAATGCATATCGAGGAATTGATGTTGAAGTTGGCACTCTTGATTCTTTTGCTACACTCTATATGCCATGCTTTTCTGGAGTTGACTTATTGTTGGCCTTTTGACAAACTATGCTATTGTCCCAGACCTAGACAGGGTATCTACACATCTACACCTGGGCTCCTTGAATTGTACTGGGAATTCAGACTATCAATGAAACTTAATTCTCTTCCATAATGGTCCTAATTCACTCTCACATTATGCAGCCAAGAACCAGATAAGGAGATTAAGGTCCCAACAATGGCCATGGTTGCTGGCATACCTCTAGGCAAGCAGCAAGTGTAGATGGTGACAGACAGTAGACTGCAATTTCTCACATCTTGGACATGATACGAATGAAGTAGATAAACATTCTCATCTGTTTGAAATACATTCCAATTCCTTCTGTTAACATAAGCATAATGTCAATTCAAAATGGTTTTCTTCCAGAGTGGTTCTGATATAATCTGTATGTTCTCTTGATCTTTAAAATTGATGTGATTTTCTATTTTTGTTCACTTTAACTATATTTTAAATCTGCTTCTAGTCATTTTCTCTATATCCTGGAGGACAATCTTTTTGAATTCAAAACCCATCACTGTTTGTGATCCACCATCTGTCTCAAAAAAACATAGAAACCCATTTACATGTTATTTAGGCTTTGAGGTTTGTGCAATTTTATTATCTGCTTGATCAAGTCATTTGTATGATGGAAAACAGTTTCCTTTGACAATTTTCTGATTCTTATGAAAATGAAATCAGATGCTGAATTTCAAGTTTTTTTTTCACCATTTAAAAGAATAAAAATGCAGATAAGGAACAAATCTTTCTTTGATATTTGACTTCTACATTTTGTGAGAATATCAAGTACATTTAAATAAATGAGAAGTATTCAGCATTTTTTTCTTGAGAAGAAAACTTAGAATTAAGCAACAAATTATTTAAATCATGCTCCCAGAGACATGCATACTATTTTTATTCTTTATACCTATGTATTTATAAATAGAGACCTTATTTGAAATTAATCCTTGAGTCTCTATCATGAGTATTTTCACCAAAAATGAAGTACATTAGTATATATGCTAAGTGAAACTGGCATGAGCAAGGTTCAGAGTAGGCAATGCAATGGTTGCTTTCTATGATAGCAGTATTGTGTCCTTGAGAACTGTCCATAGCTGGAGAGGAGTTAATGCTAAGCTACTATAATGCCCATGTAATTTCTTATTATCACAATGTATTTTTTTTTTTTTTTGAAACAGAGTCTCGCTTTCTTGCCTAGGCTAGAGTGAGTGCCGTGGCGTACAGCCTACTCACAAGCACTCAAACTCCTGGGCTTAAGCAATCCTACTGCCTCAGCCTCCGAGTTGCTGAGGACTACAGGCATCAGCCACCATGCCCGGCTAATTTTTTTTATAATATATATATTAGTTGGCCAATTAATTTCTTTCTATTTTATAGTAGAGACGGGGTCTCGCTCAGCTGGTTTTGAACTCCTGACCTTGAGCAATCCGCCGCCTCGGCCTCCCAGAGTGCTAGGATTACAAGCGCTGAGCCACCGCGCCCGGCAAAGTATTTTTTGTTCATGAGTGTTATATGTTGAAGACAATAGAAACATCACAGCTTCTGTCTATACATTAATGTTTCTCCTCTTCTTGACAGATACAGTTTTCTTCCAGGTATTACTGGAAAGAAAACTCAAGGTGCTTTTGGACAAATGGGTTGGGTGTAGCCCTCTCATCAGAGAGATTGTGAGATCAGTATTATTTATGCAATACCCCGAGGCAACACCAATAAGTGCCTTACAAGAAACAGCAAAATCATCTGACAGTAATGAAATCATGTTCTTCCAGAGCAAACAATATAAGGTCCTAGAGGTAACAGGGACAGGAAAGAGTATGGTACAAACAATATTCTTTTGTATACTCTGGGGAAAGCCAGCATGCACACCATGCAGTTATCAGAGCTGGCAAGCCTCACAAAGGGAGGGGATATGCTGGGCTTCTCTGCCAGCAGGAATAGGAGCTGTGTCGATGCTGCACAGTCGCGGAGGTCTGCGGGGAGGATGACGTAGGCCGTTGGCCTGAAGTTATGAGTGCCTGAATTTGGTCGTTAAAGATGCCAGAGAAGATGAGAGGCCAGAGGAAGGAGGAGGGTGGGGAGGGTGGGGCCATAGGAAGGATGAAGAAGAGTTGTAAGCAGGTGCAGAGTCGTGGGGAGGCTGGAAGGTGAAGAGAAGCCAAAGCAGAAGTGGAGAGACATAGTCTGAACAGCAGGAAGAGGAAAATGGACTTGGCAGTAACATTTGGCAAACTGCGAGTAGGAACTGATGAGAAAGAGGCCAGTGAGAAGGAGTTGTGTAAATCAAGGCAGGATGTGATGAGTGTCTTGGCAGCAGAAAAAATAAAAAAGAACAGATTTTGGGGAAAAAGATTTTAAGTAAAGCTAGATATGAGGATACACAGATAAAGAAATGAATTCACTGAGCCATCTTTCTTGTAGTTACCTTCTCACCTCCTCCCATGTCAAGTAGCCCCTCTTTTGTCAAAAATCTTCCCTTGACCTTCAACAGCACTGTTTTGCCTATTTTCCATCTACCTCTCTTTCATCCCTTTCCCAGTGGCTTCAATCTTTCTTTGGGATGCCATTAATTATATATCTCTAAAATGAAGATCCCCAGAGCTTTAATTTTGCCTTTCTGCTGGACGGGTATTTCCTCATGGCTGCATTGCCATCACCTCAGAGTTATAAAACTGAAGTTTCCTTCATACATGTAGTTCCTCCACTGCAGTATCCCTGTCTTTAGTCATCCATGCCCCAAACCACACCCTTGCATAGCCAAATAGTCACCAAGGCCAGCGAATGTCTCCCCATCTCTGTCTTTCCTTTCCATCCCAGTTCAGACTAACCTTTTCTTACCCTCCTAGCTGGTATCTCCACCAGCTGCCTCTGGCCATTCAGTGTCCTTCCAACAGGTTAGTGTATTAAAACACTGGTCCCATTGCCTGAATGAAGAATTTTACATTACTTAGCTTTTATTCAAGTGCTTCCACAATCTGGCCCAAACTCAACTTGACTTTGTCTTTTACCCCTCCTATGCATATATTTTTAATTTCAACAGAATCGATCCATCAACTGCCCTTTAAGTATGCCATGTGCTACATTCACATCTTTGCTTTTACTTTTTTCTTTAGGTGAGAATCCTCACTTTCTTTTTCCTCCTATCTCTCACTCTTCATTTCCTATTTAATCTATATCCTAGCTACTCTTTAAGGCATTTCATCATGAAGCCTCCTTTTTACCACTGTATAGGTTAAGTCACCATAATGAAGAGACCAAATCATTAAAGTCTCAAATAAGATAGAGATTTTTTTTCTTCTCATGTCATAGTCTACAGATAGGCAGGCAGTTGGGGATGGGTAATCCATTCTTGGCTATGAGATTATTCAGAATTCTATCTTGTTGAGCTATTCATTCATATGATAAGAGCTTCAGTAAGGGCAAAGGCACAGGTCCACATTCAGGCCTCAGTAAGGCAAAAGAGAAAGTAGAGAACAAAGTAGCCTCCTTTGAAGAGTATGACTCAGAAGTTGCACACACGACTTATCACTCACATCTCATGAGCCAGTACTTAGTCACATGACCACACCTAGCTGCAAGGGAGGCTGGAGAAAGTCTCTATCTGGGAGTCTGATCCTAGCTAAAATTCAGAGTATTATTACTAAAAGGAAGAAGGTGAAATGTAGGAAGTGGAAGGTAGGGATAATGCTGGGAGTTGAGGGGGAAGGAAGAGCGAATTAGCACCTTGTGCCACAACCACTAAACTTCTCAGGGATCTCTACTGCCTCTAATCTTGTGTACTGATCTGCTTCCATTGAATTCATGCTCCTTTGCTTTGTTATTTTTTCTTTTACATTTTTTCTTACCTCTCCACTTAAAATATAAGCTTGTTAAGGACTTCAGCTCATGATAAATTCTTTGAGTACCTAATACAGTACCTGGTACATAGTGGGTGTGCAAAACTTATCATTTTCATATATTATAATGATGATGATGCATTTTGGATTTGAACATGATTGGAATTTGTGGCACAAGATGGGAAAGAAGAACTTATTCTGAGCAGTACATTAAGACTTGTTGGTAGAAAGAGTTACCAACCACAGGGTTGAGGTGTGAGATGCTGCTGCTCTTATACATGGATTCAACCTTTTACCTAAAAGTTCTTTGACATCATTCAGCTAATCTTTCTAATGCCATATAAGATAATTTTAATCAACAGACCTGAGGAGTTTATGTGCCAAGCTCATGATCTCATTGAATCTTTACGTTTGCATTATATGTTTCCAGGTCAGTATTAGCCTCCTTTTAAACATGAAGAAACTGAAGTGCAGAGGCAGTTGAAGAACTCACCCTCAAAGTATTATTTGAGTGTTGAATGATGGCTAACACCTGTTTTTCTGACCTAAAGTCCAGCTCCTTCCCACACACCACCAATTTATGAGTATGATACATGTAAGATGGCAATAAGATAAGCAGAAATTCTGAACATAAATAGTCTTTAAAAAGGAAGGGAGAAATTAATAGGCAAGTTTATGACAGCCAATGAGATCATGCAGCCAACTGTACTCTTTTTTTTTTCTCATTTTTTTTTATTTCAGCATATTATGGGGGTACAGATTTTAAGGTTTCAATAAATGCCCATTTCCCCCCCTCCCCCCACAAGTCTGAGTCTCCATCATGACCATCCCCCAGATGGTTTGTGTTCTAAGACAGCATATATTGGCTGTAGTGTTTCTTATCATTCGCAACTATTGTCTCTTGAGTGGAGAGGTTAAGCATTCACATTTTTGAGAGAACTATGGTAAGTAGAATACTGTTATCTCTTGTGGGTTGGTATGTTGTTGTTTGATTTCTCTCTTGTCACTGTATTAGTTCTGGCTTTAATCCTTTGGTTTGGTGTTTTGTTTTTGTGAGATTATATATGGTGTTTCTGTTGTAACACTGTTTTGAGTCTTCTTGTAGGGCTTGGTCTTGTCGGTGATTTCCTGGTTTGCTTTCTGAGAATCGTCTTTATTTCTCCCTGTATATATGAGCTTTTTTGCAGGGAATAAGATATCTAGGGTGGCATGTTTTGTTTCAGAAGAGTGAGATGCGGCCCCGTCTCTTCCTTTGCTTGTAGTTCTTAGTCTGTGTTATGCGAATTGCTTTCCTTGTGTCTTGCTTCTTTGTCTTAAGCTCGTAAGAGGCTCCTTTAGTTGATATTTTGGTCAAGTCTGATGACTGCAGTGGATGTCTTCCTGT